GCATTTCCATGTAGTGTGGGAGACCGGATATAGTGACTGTAGGGTCCTGGGTTTAGTAACACTTTAACATTACATTGGCACCTGCAGCAGATCACAAAGGAAGTGGGTTTTGAGCACAGAGCAGGAAATGCACACAGAACATGCCTTTCCTGCACAGAGTTCTGGTGTGAACCGGATCTTAGGACAATACCTGTCCTATGTCTTAATTAAAGTAATGAACCAGTACACCTCCACATTCCAATTACCAGGTTCTAATTGGATATCTTTTTTTTTTTTTTTTTTGCATTTGGATTGAATAGATTTTTGGAAAGGATGGGAAAGAGCATGATCCTTTACTTCGTATACACTTCTTATTCAACATTGCCACTAAAACAAGAAGTGAAGGAAAACAACCTCCAGCTGCCCTTACAGAAATAATAGAGAGGTAATGAGGTCACGTGACAGCAAAGCAACGCAAGGGAAAAAAAAAAAAAAAAAAAAACAGTACCAATCCAGATTTTATTAATTTTTTAGCCAATTGCAGGGGATTATTTGAATATAAGCCATTTCTTCCATTTTAAGCTTGTCATTTGGGTTATTCTGCAGGAATGGGTCATTATGTACAGATCAAAAAAGTTTATCCTAGCTGGTGGCCACAGCTTAGTTAGGCCTAGTTTTCACTTGCAGTAGGCCATTGAGCCACATTTTTACACCCCCAAGCCGCAAAGGCAGGGGCACAAGGGTATACACATGCCGCAGTCACAAAGTCTTGCATTGTATTGCAGCAAACATTATCCCCCCCCCCCCGTAACGTTTGGTGGGCATACTGTACGCCAAAGGTGACCCATTCAAATCAAAGGGGCTGTGCAGCAACCATCCAACAACCACTTGCAGTGACTTGAATGCGGTTTGATCTTCCCATTTGAAAAGGGGTCATATATAGTTGGTGAGTTTGTTAGCCTTTGGGGGAGCCTCGCAAAGATGTGTGGAAGAAGCACTTTGAGACTTTCAGGTGTGGATTGTTCTCACTATTTACACAACATTTTTAAAGGAGACTTTCTGTATACTAGTATCTTATTATTTATACTTATTGATTCACGTCACTATTTAAAATGATTGCATATTTTTTTCTTATGTTATGCACTGGGACTGTAATTACAAATCATTGAGGAGTGTCCCTTGTGCTGCTAGCAGTGATCTTATTTTAAATGATCCGATTCCCCCCCCCCCCCCCCCTCCCACATCTATCTCTTCTGGTACTTTGGAGATTATTGCGACCCGAAGGTCCTGTTGTAAAGAGTCAGGGGTGCTGACTATGCCCACCCTCATATATATATATATATATATATATATATACATACATACACACACAGCTTCCATGAATAAAAAGCACTCTAGGAATAAAGGACAGGTGGATAAACGAAAGGTCATCTTCTTCCATTCATAGATCATTGATTTTAGGTACAGTCCCTTGTGCTTATTTTTTAAAATACAGTTTTGACTTAACCAAGTCTTTAAAGTGATAGCAACACTATAGATATTTAATTTTTCTTTTAAATGCCCTACAGTATACATAGTACAACTGATATATGAAGGGTCACTGATACAGTACATTTGTTTGTATGTATCTTAAGCACAGAGAACCCTCCAGAGACTCCTCTAAAATAACACCACAACTTCTAAGCAAAGGAGCAATTTTTCCCCATGTGCTATGTCAGACATCTTGCTCAGAAACAGTGTAAATAAAAAAAACACGGACTACTTCAGAAGAGTGGAAACCAGTGGAAGAGACCCCTGCTTACCAGATCTCTGACCAGGTCAGGATACTGAGATACCACTTGGAGGAGGACGCAACCTGCCACAGCCAGGGCACTGCTCATCTGAGAGGGACACTGTGACAAGACAGCCCATTGCCAGCCAGTTATATATGTCCCTAGGAATGAAAACTCCACAGGCTGCCCGTGCCAGGGCTGTTGCAGCCAACTGTGCACAGGGGAAGTAACTGCATGTGTTTGATGGCTGGACCTGGGCCTTAGTGGCCAGAAGAACAGGAATAATGCTAAAAGTTATAGCCACAAGCAGTAATCGAATGTAAAAAAAAAAACAAAAAAAAAAAAAAAAACCAGACAGGCTGGTTGTACCCTAGTCGATCAATGGATCGACTTGGGTACAATCAGCCTGCCCATACATAGATCAAAATTGGTCCAAGCCCTCTTGAACCAGTTGAATTTCAATCCATGTATGCCTGGTTTATAGATCAGTATGATAAAATGTCATACTTAAAGCGCTGTTGGCGCTATATAAATCCTGTATTATAATAATAATACTTGTAGTACAGTGGGGCAAAAAAGTATTTAGTCAGCCCCCAATTGTGCAAGTTCTCCCACTTAAAAAGATGAGAAAGGCCTGTAATTGGCATCATAGGTAGACCTCAACTATGAGAGACAAAATGAGAAAAAAAATCCAGACAATCACATTGGCTGATTTGGAAAGAATTTGCAAATTATGGTGGAAAATAGGTATTTGGTCAATATCAAAAGTTCATCTCAATACTTTGTTATATATCCTTTGTTGGCGATGACAGAGGTCAAACATTTCCTGTAAGTCTTCACAAGGTTGGCACACACTGTTGCTGGTATGTTGGCCCATTCCTCCATGCAGATCTCCTCTAGAGCAGTGATGTTTTCGGGTTGTCGCTGGGCAACACGGACTTTCAACTCCCTCCAAAGGTTTTCTATGGGGTTGAGATGTGGAGACTGGCTAGGCCACTCCAGGACCTTGAAATGCTTCTTACGAAGCCACTCCGTTACCCGGGCGGTATGTTTGGGATCATTGTCATGTTGGAAGACCCAGCCACGTTTCATCTTCAATGCCCTTGCTGATAGAAGGAGGTTTGCACTCAAAATCTCACGATACATGGCCCCATTCATTCTGTCGTGTACATGGATTAGTCGTCCTGGTCACTTTGCGGAGAAACAGCCCCAAAGCATGATGTTGCCACCCCCATGCTTCACAGTAGGTATGGTGTTCTTTGGATGCAACTCAGCATTCTCTCTCCTCCAAACACGACGAGTTGTATTTCTACCAAACAGTTCTATTTTGGTTTCATCTGACCATATGACATTCTCCCAGTCCTCTTCTGGATCATCCAAATGCTCTTTAGCAAACTTCAGACGGGCCCGAACATGTACTGGCTTAAGCAGGAGGACATGTCTGGCACTGAAGGATCTGAGTCCCTGGCGGCATAGTGTGTTACTGATGGTAGCCTTTGTTACGTTGGTCCCAGCTCTCTGCAGGTCATTCACTAGGTCCCCCCGTGTGGTCCTGGGATTTTTGCTCACCGTTCTTGTGATCATTTTGACCCCACGGGGTGAGATCTTGCGTGGAGCCCCAGATCGAGGGAGATTATCAGTGATCTTCTATGTCTTCCATTTTCTAATTATTGCTCCCACAGTTGATTTGTTCACACCAAGCTGCTTGCCTATTGCAGATTCAGTCTTCCTAGCCTGGTGCAGGTCTACAATTTTTTTTCTGGTGTCCTTCGACAGCTCTTTGGTCTTCACCATAGTGGAGTTTGGAGTGTGACTGTTTGAGGTTGCGGACAGGTGTCTTTTATACTGGTAACAAGTTCAAACAGGTGCCATTGATACAGGTAATGAGTGCAGGACAGAGGAGCCTCTTAAAGAAGAAGGTACAGGTCTGTGAGAGTCAGAAATCTTGCTTGTTTGTAGGTGACCAAATACTTATTTTCCACCATAATTTGCAAATAAATTCTTTCCAAATCAGCCAATGTGATTGTCTGGATTTTTTTTCTCATTTTGTCTCTCATAGTTGAGGTCTACCTATAATGCCAATTACAGGCCTCTCTCATTTTTTTAAGTGGGAGAACTTGCACAATTGGTGGCTGACTATATACTTTTTTGCCCCACTGTATATGGCAGAAAAAAGAAGAAGATTTACATTGCAGAATGCATCATCTGGTCTTCATACTAGAGCAAACACAGAATATTTATGTTGTCAATCGGAAAAGTCATTTTGGTGACCATTTTATAGATAGACTGCATTATGTTTTGAGATGAAAGATTTTGACAACTGATTTCCTGAAGAGACCGCCAGGTGAAACGTACGTAGAAGCGTAATCCCGTCAAGTCACATCTCTTCACAGTGAAAGCGAGGCTTGGTATGCACGCCGGCCATTTTTGGATTACACAGGCTATATAGACTGGTGCCGGTTTTTTGGGAACCTCCACATGTGAGTGTATAAGCCTTATGTTTATTTATTGTGTTAATTTCATTAAAAACTACACTTAGAATGCTTAACTCATCTGATTTACTTGATCTGCTTGAAGCATCACTTCCTTGTTAAGGAGAGCTTGGTATTAAGAGCCCATTTACTACTGCTTTACCTGGAATCTTGCGATTATCCATCCGGGGCCAATATCTATGATGTGCTGATGACCAGGAGGGATATTCTAGGAGAGCCGGTTGCAGATCTTCCATTCATACTATAATAATGTGGTATTTGACCACCTTAATTGTGGCTAAATATTTCTGGGGAGTGAGAAATTCACTTATTTCATCTACACGTAGTGAAAGCGCACAAAGTTTTGGTCCACGGCAACGTACCTCTAAGGGACTGTCACTACACATATTGTGATCATTTATATCACATATATTGTTAGATGTTAGATTGTTATCGGGAGTATGTAATATCACACTTTGGTATTATCACCTGCTAGAAAATGCAGAGATGTTTTGCTTTGAAATTTTGTTATATGGTTGTACAGCTACTACATATTCACGTTTATTTATGTCCAAGTGTTTTTCACTTTTTTAGGGATAGCTGTTAATTCACATTGCCGGCATAAACTCATTGTTTTGACACATAAGACACACAGGCGCCACAATAATATTATTTATGAGATTATACCAACCTCGACACCAGCTGCAGCAAATGCCCAGCGGATAGATTCCATTTTCCCCCTTCCATTGAAGTAGTGAAGCACTGGTTTATCACACATGATTACAGGCCTAGGAAAAAAACATTATATAAACAGTTATGAGAAGATTACACAATATTCATATGTTACAAAATCTATATGAAATTAAAGCAGTCTCTTCAATGTTCTTTTCAGAGTAACATGCACAAGAGATACAGTTTAAAGATTTCAAAAACTCTGCTTGCCAAAGTTATACAATGATTGTGCTTTAGTGCTCTTTCCCTCATTGCAAAGACATAGGATCAACTCATTGTGGCTGGTATCTTATTTCAGTAATAAAGGGAACACGACACTGAGCTGCTTCAACTTCCTCTAGTGGCCAATTTGCAAATTTCCATATTTAATATAATAGAATGCAAGTTAATATATTTACATTGAAATATTTTATATTACATTTAGCAGTAAAATGTGAAAGGAAAAAATTAATCCAAAATTCAACAGCAATATTTTGTCATTGAAAATTAATTATACATTCTCTTCAATAAAGAGAAAGATTATCTATTCTTTATTTGCCGTTTTCAAATGCATTAAGTGTTAAATGTGTTTTGGTTTTTTTTTTACAAAGAAGATTGCCAAACTGAGTATGATGGGAGGCTATTCATGCCTGAATGTTGAGGCTTTCAAAGACTCACAAAGGTTTTCATTCAAACTTGGGTTCTAAAGCCTCTGCAAGCACAAGAGGAGCATATGACAAAATGTTCTTGTCGTATGATGAGGCGTACAAAATCCCACAAAAACATCTGTTGATACGGTTTCTGGAGCACAACAACAACATATAACAAAATGTACCCCAGGTAAAATCAGCAGTTATCCCTGCAGTGGGGCTCCCCTTGCACTGGTCTAGGGGTAATGACAAAATGACTTATACTCACTCACCTTATCCCTCACTCAATAGACTGCCTCCCAGCTGCATGACCAGTCCCCTGAACCCCCTTCTCTTCACTGATCTGTCAGTTGCAGGGACATTTTGACATCATCAGGAAAATATGCAGGACCAGCAATCCTGCATTGTAAGTGAGGATGCAGACAGTCTGCCCACATGCTGGATAGCCAGAGAGAAGAGGAGAGTGCTAGCTGCCGGAGAAGCAAGAGATAGGGTCGGAAAAACTGCTGTTTATGTTCCCTACACCAGGGGTGGGCAAGTCCCATGAGGCATTGCAAAACTGACAGTTACAAGCATGACTCCCAAAGATAGAGGCATGACGGGACTTGTAGTTCACCAACAGCTGGAGGGCCACAGTTGCCCACCCCTGCCCTAGCATTTAGCCCGTACAATGCAGGGAGAGCACAAACTGCAAATGTAACTTTTTTTTTGCCCAGAGTTCAGCTTTAAGAGACCTGCTTGAAGCAGAGGTCCATACCAGTCCCAAGAGTCCACAGTTATTGCAAATCGTAAGTAGAATGTTATGTGAAAGCAATATTTCTCAGTGAAGTAAAAATGTTTACATAAACCCTCAAAAAATATATTGGTATGCATTTTCTTCCATTTTTTTTTCTTTAATTTTGCCTGTATTTGCTGCTTGAATAAAAGTAATGTTCCACATTTTCAGCTTACGACAGGGAATATACAGCATAGCCATAACTTTTTTTTTTTGCATCTGACAAACAAGGGAGATTTTCAATTACTTCCTGTCCTGGAGATGGATGTAACAGAAAAAAATAAATAAATACATAGTTGGTAAGGTTGAATAAAAAGGCACCAGTTTTTCCAATCCATCCAAATCTTACCAAAGACTTAGACAGCTGCCACCCAAATAATTGTCTTCACTGCAAGACTTTTTCCTCATCTTTTGCTCTGGTGACATCTGTAAACGTTTGGATTTCCCCCAACTTCTGCCTTGATGACACTGGTCACCAGAACAAATAGGAGGTTAAATCTGTCCCAAAACCTGCTTGGATGCCTTTAATGAATAGAGGTTTATTCTGTCCCAAAACCTGCTTGGATGCCTTTAATGAATAGAGGTTTATTCTGTCCCAAAACCTGCTTGGATGCCTTTAATGAATAAACCCATTCTGGATATTTTAAAATCCTCCCAAAGACCTACAATGACAAGAAAAAGTATGGGAAGCCTGGTTTTCTGCAGTAATTTGCCATAAAATCCATCTGAGCCTCATACAAGTCACAACATGGCACCTTTTGGAGTGGCCCCAATCCCATATCCCGATAGAGATGCAGTGGATTGACCTCAGGAGAACCGTTCACAACAGACATCCTAAAAATGTGTCTGAGCTGGAGCAGAATGGTGAAAAATTCCTCCTGAAAGACATGCAGGTCTGATCCAGAGTTACAAAAAGTACTTGCCATTGGTGCCAAAAGGAGGTTCAACCAGTAATTAACTCCAAGGGCTCACTTACATTTTCCTCCAGCACTGTAAATGTTTGATGCTCATTAACCCACTTGTCCCTCCAGAAGATTTACCCCCCTTCGTGAGCAGGCCATTTTTTGCGATACAGCGCTGCGTTACTTTAACTGACAATTGTGTGGTCATGCAACATTGTACATAAATGAAATTTATATCAGTTTTTCCCCCCAAATAGAGCTTTCGTTTGGTGGTATTTGATCACCTCTGCATTTTTATGCTATAAAACAAAAAACAACTGACAATTTTATGATCAATCTCAGTTTATTAAAACTTTTCATAAACTGTACAAAAAAAAAAGTCAAACTGGCACATAAACAATACAATGGTAGAGAATACAACAAAAAGGGACTAAGGGAGGGTGAGGGAAGGGGGGGGGGGGGGGAGAGGAGGAGGGTAGGCAAAAGAACATGAGGCAATAATAAACAATAACAGTCTGGCACTGCGTAGCTCCAATTGCAGACCCAAGGCTGAAGTGCAAATAGTCTTGTTGTACAAACAATATCAAGGGTACAGATAAGAAAGACCAAAAGAACACAAAACCCTAATGCAGGCCATAGATGGGTCGTTTATCGGCCGAATTTCCGTCCGCATGAAAAATCGGCCGATTTTCACGCAGTTAGTTGGGCAATGCCATCGGCCGGTTTTCCCGGATCTTCTCATTTATTTTTATCGGTCATGCTGAAAAATCCACGAAAAATTTCCATTTTCCTTAGGCATTGGTGGCAGCATCGGCAACGACAATTTTTTGTTTATCAGCCGAACAAACGGCCCGTCTATGGTCAGCCTAAGGGATGATGTACCATACAGAACAATTGAGAAGTATGAAAAAAAAGGAAAAGAGCAACGGAACCCACCACAACAATGCACACCCCTCCCCTTCCAGAGGACAATCGCCCAGAAAAACAAAAATAGGAGGGAAAAAAAAAAAGGGGGGGGGGGGGTGAAGAGAAGAAAAGGGGAGAGGGGAAAAGGGCAAAGAATAGAAAAGGAAGAAAAGGAAAAACAAAGGAAAATAGATCCGCCTGAGGAAAAGGCACCCAGTAAGAGAACAAACCAACATGAACCAGAAAGAGAAAAAGGGACAATTCCCGCTCAAGCAGCCATGAGAGCGTGGAGTGTGGAGAACTCCCTATACATATGCCAGGAGAGCCAAGTCTGACGACATCGTTCTGAAGTGCCCAATTCCTGATCCAAGAGGGACTCCATGGGTTTATTTACAAAGCTGGAGAGTCCAAAATCAGACTAACTTCTGCATAGAAACCAATCAGCTGGTTTCATTGCCAAAGCTTCATTGAACAAGCTGAGGTTAGAAGCTGATTGGTTTCTATGCAGAGGGAGTCTGATTTTGGACTCTCCAGCTTTAGTAAATAAACCCCCATACATCCAATGGGATCCATGTCCTCAAATCACTCCAAAAGAGTCGGAATACAGCTAGTTCTCCAATGGCCAGCCATGGCAGCCATCAAGCAATGCGGAGAAGAGGCACCCACGTTTGATACATTTGAAGGAGCCAGGCAGGATAGAAAGCAGAACAATTTGGGGTGTATTGGAGACATTCTGGTCCGTAACCTCCGAGTAAACTCGCAAAATACGATCCCAAAACCCATAAATAGGGGGACATTCCTACCAGACATGAAGAAGAGAGCTGGGGGCAGCCTGACAGCGCCAACAGAGACAACCGACAATATTGAAGAAAAAATATTTTTGACTTTTTGCTATAAAACATATCCAATAAAAAAAATTTAAACAAATAACATTTCTATATCAATTTTGGCAAAATGCATTCTGCTACATGTCTTTGGTAATAAACAATCCCAATAATTGTATATTAATTGGTTTACATTAAAGTTTTAGTGTCTACAAATGGTGGTATAGATAATGAAATTTTTCTTTTCTTTTTTTTTTAGAACTAGTAATTGTGGAGATCAGCAACTTATAGCAGGTCTGTGGCGGGCATTATGACACTGGGTGGGAACTGACTAACTGCCACTGACATCTCCAGTGACGCTAATAAAAGTGATCAGTGCTAATAAATTAGCACTAACACTGTACTAATGACACTAGGCAGGAAAGGGTTAACATCTGGGGCGATCAAAGGGTTAAAAATGGCAGTAAAGCGGTTAATATGTATCCAACTATGGTGTGGGTGCAAATGTGCTGCTTTTACTCACGTGTGGTATGTCTGTCTTTCTTCTCTCCCTGGAACGAAAAGGTTCCATTGAGAGAAGTTCCAGCTAGATCCTGTGTGCCTGTATTTACAAATAGAGGCACAGATCTGCTTCTCCATTCGTTGCAGGAGATCAGCAGAGTCCCAACCAAAATCACTGGCAGAGACCTGCTGACAAATATGTCCTGCAGCGAATGACGGCAGGGATCAAGCCCAGAAAAACAGTGATGGCTGTCCACAGTACATTGAGGGCAGTCAGTCTTTAAGTGGTTAAAGACAGGAGAAATTTGAATTGTTTGTGTGTTATCAGCTTAAGCACATTGTATTTGTCTATTATTGTGGCTTAGAAGAGGATCAGATCACGTATTATGGCAAAATTACTGCAGAAAACCAGTTAATTCCAAGGCATGCACATACTTTTTCTAATTACTGTATATTCACTTTTTTGGCTGCAAAAATAATATTGATGGGGCATAGAAAACTATTACAGT